TTTTTTTTTTTTTTTTTTTTTTGTTTTTTTTTTTTTGTAATTTGTAATCGTATAAAAGTGACGCCTCATTCTCAGAGTTGACTATCACTATCACATAGCGTAGAGGTCAGCAAAATGAAATGTAACAAACCATGTTCTATTTGTATTTGTAATTTGCACGCTTACCGGTTATGTGTTATAATTATAGTATTAGAGGTATATTGTGTGTTGACGTATATTTTGTGAAGTATTCATTTTGACCGATTGGCTAGCAAGAACCAGCTTTGAAATACTAACACTGTGTACAAGGGCGCGCGTCTCCCCCACCCTTGTACGCAGTGTGCAAGGGTGAGGAAGCCGCGGCTCCTATGGTGACCAGACGATCTTAAAGGGCATATCCTGAGCTTCAATCTGACAAACAATTTTTGATGATAAGTAGTTTGGGGCTACTAGAAATAGAATAACAAGTTCTTTTATACCACTCAGATGAACGAGTTTTTTAAAGGAAAGTTATTTCATTGTTTAGAAAGGTCTTACGGAAATATCTGAAAATGACATCGAATAAATTCAAAGGATACAAAGGTATGACTTCTAAAATGCATTCATGATGTCGGTCTAGCGTAAAAAGAAAATATTTACTTCTCCAACGATACAGAAAAACCTGAACAATGTCAAACAAAAGTGTATATTATTTCAAAGGCATTTTATAGTGCATGTGCAGACCATAAATGAACGGTATGTTACGTTTGCCTAATGACAGGAACAATTTAGTCGTTGCATGAATTGTTTTGAGGGAAGGTATTTCTCTCTTTCGTCTATTATAACCCATTAATAAGTTAGTACTGTATATGGTATTGCGGTGGATTGGAACCAATAAAAGATGTATAATAATAAAGGTGGAAAAAGAACATTGTTGAAGGGCTTTTTATGCTCATGTTGTTACACAATGGACCTTTCCGCTAAGCCCCGCCCCTTGGATATTGTTGCTAAGGTCCCACAAAAAATTGGTGTTTATAAGATCTTTGGTAAAACCATGGAGGTATTACCTCCATGGTAAAACATACACAAACATGTGCGTTTGTGGGACAAGAAAAACGTGTGCTCCTTAGACACACGCGTGTGCTCTTTAGACCCACACGCGTGTGCTCCTTATGACACACGCGTATTGCTGGCCCTGTTCTGATTAGTCAGTTGTTAAGTTTGATTGACACATCAGAAAGATATATTGCTAATAGTAATTGGAGTCTTGTCTGGCCCTTATGGAGAGTAGGCCTACCGGTATTGCATTTTTCAAAAACCAGTAGTGGCATAACTACTTGAAATGGGGCCCATCAGCAGCGGCGCATCTAGAAGGTATGCAGAAGGGTGCACACCCTAAAAAAATACTCGGGACCCCAGTCGACCCCCAGTTGTTGTCGTAGCCGTCGTCGTTGTTGTTATGTGTGGGTAATCTCTCTGCCTACGTTTATTGCTGAAAATATTGATCAAGGCATATTAATTTATTAATTTAATTTAATTAATTTAATAGGGGGTCGCGCGTCCTTTTGGCGACAGTGTGTTCCCTGCTTTTACGTCTCCCGAGCAGTAATGCATAAAATTTAAATCTTCAAGTTTGATATTTAAAAATGAAATTGAGACAAACTGTATCCTATATAATATTTTTTTTTTAATCTTTTTTCCTCTTAGAGCTCAGAAGACCATTGTACATATCGACAACCACGTCGACAACCAGACGGACAATGGAGACGATCATAGCCGACTTTTGAAGTCTGATTGTGGACGTAGCCCTACAATGAATGAAGATGACCATGAATCTGATGATTCCTCTTCTAACGTAGTCACGGGATAAATGAACATGATATTTATGATATAGATAATAATTTTAAATAAATGTTACAAATATCACCAGTGGTGGATTCCAAGAGGTAGGGTGGCAGCCGGCTCCGCACCCCCTAAATTTTCTAAAATTACGAAAAGTAGAGAAAAAGAAGAACATTTTATTTAAAGTTAAGTGGTCTAGACCTTCCATCTGTGTGAAATTCCCTCTCTGAGCCTCAAATTTCTGGACACACCACTGGTTACATTACTTCGTATAAAATTACAGACCTCCCTTTAATTAAAGACCACCTCCAATTACAGACACCACTTTCCTGTGGTCAAAAATTAAAATGTCTTTTATCTTAATTATTCTAATTAGAGACCAAAGCTGCTAAAGACCATGGAAATTCCGGTCCCAAAAGTGGTCTTTAATTGAAGGAAGAC